AACAGTGGGAGAAGAGGAAAAAAGTGTAAGTAACTTTTAAGGATCAATAGTTTAAAAAAAAATAGTTACCCTAAGAAAGCAACTTTTCTTTTTTGAGTTGAGGTCTGTCACCCAGGCTGAAATTAAACATCACAATCACAGCTCACCACAGCCTCAGTCTCCTGGGCTTACGTAATCCTTCCACCTCAGCCTCCTGAGTAGCTGGGACTACAGGTGTGTACCACCATGCCTAGCTAATTTTCTAATTTTCAGTAGAGACCACGTCTCACTATGTTGCCCAAGCTGGTCTCAAACTCCTGGGTTCAAGCAATCTTCCCACCTCGGCCTCCCAAAGTGCTGGGATTACAAGTGTCAGCCACCACACTCAGTCAAGAAAGCATCTTTTAAAGAACACCACACTGTACACTTGATGTGGTCAGAAAGGCAAAATACCAGCCTAGGCTACATAGTAAGACCTCGTCTCTAAGAAAAATAAAAAAATTAGCTTGGTATTAGTACATACCTGTAATCCCAACTACTTGGGAGGTCAAAGCCAAAGGATGCCCTGAGCCCAGGAGACCGAGGCTGTGGTGAGCTATGATTGTTGCCACTGTACTCCAGCCTGGGTGACAGAATGAGACCCTGACTCAAAAAAAAAAATATAAAAAAGGCAAAATATATCTTGTGTTTTCATACCTTGTTCTTTTTTTTTTTTTTTGAGTCAGAGTCTGTCACTCAGGAGTGCGGTGGCATGCTCACAGCCACCGCAGACTCAAACTGCTGAGCTCAGGCGATCTTTCCACCTCAGTCTTCCAAGTAGCTGGAAACACAGGTGCACACCACGTGCACACCACCATACCTAGCTAATTTTTTTGATTTATTGTAGAGATGAGATCTTGCCAAGTTGCCCAGGCTGGTCTTGAACTCCTGGGCTCAGGCAATCCTCTTACCTCTGCCTCCCAAAATGCTAGGATTACAGGCACGAGCCACCACGTCTGACCCATACCTTGTTCTTACCATGAATTTACAACTAGAAGAAAACTATAGAAAACCATTACTATCTATCTGATTCTAGGTGAAAGGAAACTGTAGTAGTCATTTTATACATCATTTAATCTTCATGACTCATCATCCCATTTTACAGACGAGGTTACCGAGGTCCAGAAAGTTTCCCAAGGTCAGGTAATCAGTTAAGGGTCAGAGTTTCAAATCCAAGCCTTAAAACTCCTGTTTATTTTATTCTCACACATTTAATCTGAGCTGATTAAATATTTGAGGAAATAAAAATAAGACTACCAAGTCAACCTTTACTATTTAGTCTGACATTCCTGAGTCTGTATTACATGCTTTCAGATTCAACCCGGCACCTGGTATTTTCAGACAGTAAGCAGCTCTAGCCCTTAAAGAGCTTGTCAGAAGAACACAATAAGCAGTGATGTTTCAAAATCTACTGTGCTACAGAACAGCAAAGCAATGACTTGAAAATGCAAGCAATTTATCTAAATGTACTTATTTCTGACCACCACGTGTTTTCTTCATTGTAAAGTAAATACCCCTTACTAGTTGCGGGGAGATAGAGAACAAAGGGAGGGAAATATTTTTATAATGAACTGTCCATTATATCAACCTTGCCAGAGTTCAACTATTCATTCAGTGTTAAGGGCTGTGAAAGTGTACTTCCTTAATAAAATGTAGGTGTTATAAGTAACACTTATTTTAAAAATGCTTTAACTAGAAGCAAGGGTCAAACAGAGGGCTTCGGGAAAAAACTGGGCCAACTAGGTGGCTGACCAAGAAAAGACCGCTACAGAAAGAACAAAGACTACAATTTCTAATCTATTTCACGACTGAAGCAGAAATTTAAAGAACAACAACAAAAAGACCAAGCCTTTCATGTACAAAGCGTCATGCAACTTCTCAATTTTCGTTGGGGAACGTCAAGCAAACTAGGCGGGAGTTCCTTACCTCCCCCTATCGTCTGTCCCTAGGGTTACTTGACCCTTCTTGAATGATGGAGGACTCAGTTGTAAAATGAAAGGGGAAAATCTTCAGGCTCTGTAGTAATTCTCATTTTACCAGTCGAAGCCGGAAACCTGATTCGGAAAACCTCAAGTTCCGATTCCCACAAGTCGCTTCTTTCTCCCTGCAACTTAAGCTGCGGTTACCGCTAAGTCCGGCCCGGCCCGGCGCGCTGGACAGGGCACTCCAGCCTCGCCTCACCTCGGCCCTCCCTCCAACGGTCCCTCCCCGTTCAGGCTGTCTTCACCTCCTACACTCTCGGGTGAGGCGCTCACCGCCACTTGCAATCAAAAAGGATTTCCTTTCGGGTAAAGAGGGAGGTAAAGGTTCGTTTCTGGAAGAATCTGAGTACTCGGAGCAGCGGCAAGAGGGAGGGGGAAGGGTCGGGAAAGGGGCGGGGAACTGAGCACCATCCATCAAGATCTTTGCGCTAGGAGATCGCCAAGTCGCCTTCGGGCCTTCACTGCAGTCTAGATATTCCCCATCGCACCCCGCGTAGAGGTGGGAATGTAGGATCCAGACTCCCAAAGAGGAGAGGACGCGAGCTCCCGACTGCCTCGGTCCGAAGGGGCGGGAAGAGAGAGGGACAAAGCCGCTGCCACCCATGTCCCCGGATGGCCGGGAGGCCCCCTTACCTGCAGTCAGCAGCTGCATGGCGTGAGTGAAGGACGGGTCGAGCGAGTCCTTCTCCGCCATGAGTTCGGGCAGGTACTTGTTCTCCGGCTCCATCTTGACCGAGGCTGTGGCTGAGGGGGGCAGCAGTGGGGTCGGCGCTGGACCGCCCACTGTCGCGTCGGGACCCGTGGCC